GTGCCAACTTTTCACAAAAAAGATAGTAAAAGAAGAATAAAAGGTACCAAAACAATTAAAAAATAAAAAAAAGAACTGTCCAACAGTTTTTTTTTTTAAGAAAAACTGTCCAACTTCTTTTTCAATTTTTAATCTATTTTCAACCATACTTGATTAATTTATCATTTACCAATATTTGAACAACACAATTATATAACAGCGATGAGCGGCGAAAACGTCAAGCCACAACAATTAATTAAAATGATATAGGTAATAAGGTTTTGACAGTGTTTTAAAAAACGCGATGCGTGGCGAAAATGTCAAGCCGAGTGACTTGGCGCCTTATTTAGTTGTCAATGGTAATTATTGACCGCTAATACGTGCCTAGACGCGCATAAGTGCATTATTATCCTTTTTTATTTTATTTTTTTACAATTTTTTAAAGTCAAAATTTAAAGGTTTATTTACATTTGAAACTTATCTTTTTGTTGAAAACTTTTGAAAAAATATATAAAGTTTTTATAAATCTGTTTTAAATGTTTGACATTATTTTTAATTATCAAATAATTTTTTAATTGATTAAATATTAAAATAAGAAAACGACTTTTTACTTTTTTTTTCTTAATGCATATATCTTGTCTAAACTCGCCTAATCCAAAGCTTAACCATCACACATCGCCACACATCAAGCCTTTTAGAACACTGGGTATTGGACATACACCCAATGACAAAGTGAATACTTTCAGAGACATTCATGAAGATATATATAAAATTATGAACTTTTCAAATTTAGAATCGATGATAAATTTACAATCTCTTTGAGTAGCAAAGCAATTATGAGTCAGACAGACATACACTCGAGCCTGGCAGGTTCACCCCTATGACGACGGGCGGATAGGGCCTGACAATTCGAAAAAGGGCTAAACAGAGCCTGGTGTCAAGGGCTCAGTCCCTTGATAGGTAGTCAAGCATATCACTAAAAATAATTAAATTAGTAAATACTTACTTACACTTACAACGCGTGCTTAAAATAGTATTATTAACAAATTATTGTAAGCCTGTCCGACCAATAAAACAAAGAATTAAGGCCCTGTTTGATAGGGCTAGAATTCCATGAAAAATGGAAATGTAATTCCATTTGCATACTTTGGCCATGTTTGATGACTTAAATATTGTC